AAGAGCGACTGACATGTGCAACGTCTGCCTCACGCCAGATTGGGGCTGGTGGCGGCCGGTCGATGGTGATGGTGATGGCGATGGTGGTGACAGCAGAGCTGAGGTAGAAGAGAGGAAGAAGAGAGAGAAATGGGGAAGGGTTGATGATGATGATGATGATGGGTCGTTCATGGCGGCTACTTCCCCCTCCTCTGATGTGGCCCTGGTGCGCATGCAACCAACACACAACGACAAGACACAACGACAACATCATCACACACAACACACAGGTATGGCATGTGAGCACAGCAGGCGTGTTCACATACACACAGACAGGCACACATACAGACACACACACACAGACACACAGACAGACACACACACACACACACACACGCACACACACAGAGACAGACAGACACACACACACACACACACACACACACACACACACACACGCACGCACACACACACACACACACACACACACACACGCACGCACACACACACACACACACACACACACACACACACACACACACACACACACACACACACACACACACACACACACACACACACACACACACCTGCCTTCACCTCGTCCAGTGCAATTTGCAAATGTCTCGGAGGTGCAATTACGTTCGTGCAAAGCATGGCTCGCTGGGAATGTTGGTGAAGGACAGCGGTTGCTGTGGAAGGACAGCCGTGGAGGAGGGAGTTCGCAGCATCGGCATGCATCCAGGCACACAGGCACGCCCATCTTGCAGGTGAAGACGGCCCACCGAGCGGCGCTGTCGCCACAAACATGCCATGCAAGAGCTTTTGAGACGAGCCACACGCGGTTGAGGTGCAAGGCGCATGGCCACTGCCAGAAGAAGGCGTACATGCCATGAGGGATGCCTCATTTCCCCCGTCCCCTCCTGAGCCTCCCCATCCACGATGCGTGCTTCCGCCTTCACGGGCACCCTCCTAGTGGTGCTCGCTTTCAGCGTGCTCGCTCCTTCTTCCACACACGCCATCGTCAACGACGTGAGTGCGCGGATACAATGATTGAGATAGTGGCATGCTTGCTTTGCTTGGAAGCAAGAGGAGTGTGTGAGGTTTTGTGGCCTTGAAGACTTGGACCCTCTCCCGACTGTTTTCCCTGTGCGCCTTCCCTTGTCGTGGTTGGCACATTCAACTGGCTCAGCTTCTACGACTCTACATCGTACTCACCCACAACACCCACGTATGTACTACTGCAGACTGTCGTTCTTGGAGATGAACTCAGCCCATCCGAATTCCTTGCAGAAGTGGTGAGCCCATTCGACAACAACGGATGCGCGCTGTGTGTGTGTGTGTGTGTGTGTGTGTGTGTGTGTGTGTGTCTGTGTGTGTCTGTGTCTGTGTGTCTGTGTCTGTGTGTATGCACCTGCTGTTGTCAACGGCCTTCCTCTTCCTCCCCCCTCTTCGTGCACCACAACAACACCTCTGCCTCACCCAGCAAATCAAACTTGTCCTCCACGTTCTTGATGTCCCAAAGGCAATCGATGGCTGCGCCAGCTTGACAGCTGCTTCCGAAGGCTACCACTTTGAAGGAGGCCAGGCGTCTGGTCTCTCCCAGGACCGCTGCACCACTGGTACACCTGGCTGTCCTGTGTGTGTGTGCGTGTGTGTGTGTGTTTCTCTCGAAAGTGTGCGTGCGTGTGTGTGTGCATGTGTGTGGGCATGTTTTGTGCTTCTTGGCAGTGCCACCCAATACGCGCCACTTCTTCCTCATCATCGTCATGACCGCCAACGCTGCGACAGGCGGAACGTGCCAGTGCAAGAGCTTCAGCGATTCCTGCGATAGCGGAGGTGAGACCCACCGGCCACGGTGCTTGGTTTTGAGTGCTTGTTGAGAACTCCCACGCTTGCCATCCACCCGCATTCAACCAAAACCGTCAACCTCATCAATCTGCCCACACTCACTTGCTCACGCACACACACGCACACACACACACACGCGCACATTGCTTGTCCTTCAGATTGCTACAAAGTGTACCGTTGCAATGACACCGCCGCTGATGGCTGCTTCGCCGTCTCAAACTGCACGCAGACCGTTTTCACCACCGTCATGGAGGTGCGTTCGCGCGCGTGTGACTGTGTTTTGTACCTCATGCGCAATGTCATCGCTTCACACACACACACACACACACACACACACACACATCATTGTTAATAAAAATTATACACACAAAACCACATACTCACTTTCACCGTCCACGTCCAACAAAAAAAAATACATTCAAACTAAAATAATGAAAAAACCGTCTCTCCCCCCCCCCCGCTGTGGGTGGCGTATCGCACCCCCCCCTCTCCCCCCCCTGAAGAGGATAACGCGATCCACCTTTCGAGAGATAAGAAAAAAGAAGCGACCTCTTCTGCTTCGTCTGGCAGCAGGGGTCGAGGAAGACTGCA